GAATTAGCATCGAATTTAGCATTGAAATAGCTGAGTGATTAGCTTGTAACTGGTCACAGAAATAGCTATGTTAAAGTTAGAGCATATACATTCACCGAGGCACCTAGTACTCATCAAACAGGAGAATTTAGCGAAACACAACCACGCTCAGACATCAGACCTGTGTGCGAGCAAACAAGGTGTTCTGACAAAGAAATTAGCATAAAAATGCTAATTTTTAAAGGTCGTGATCTAAGCGTGGCTTCTTCCACTCCAGCGCTAATTCCTTTGTCAAGGGGTACCTCTGCGGATGTGTATACTTTAACTTAGCTATTTCAATGAGCCATTTCAATGCTAAATTATATGCTAATTCCTTTGTCAAGGCGCGTGGTCTTTTTCTTCTCACACAGCTTAAAGGTCGTGATCTAAGCGTGGCTTCTTCCACTCCAGCGCTGTCCTCCAGACAGTCTCGTCCCTTCACCTGATGAAGGCCGCTTGTGTTGTGGCCGAAACGTCGTGATTTTTTGTTATTTTATTTTCACCTACGTGACTTTACCCAATAGAACCAAAGAGTATGGATCCTAGCAGTCACGAAAGCTTTAAATCTAGTAGTGAAATACATTTTACTTAAGACGGCACAGTTTAAAAGAAATAAATGTGGTCGCGATTAATCTGATGGAAGTGTCACGCGGTGGTAGCGTGAGAGTCGGGCGCGGTGTGTTGATGTCGTGCGTTCATTGTCAATTGTCAATGTGTCTGCGCCCGTGTCTGCATCGCGTTACAAGCGTGGAGGTGGTGCCTGTCGAGATGCGACAGATCGTGGTGCAGCAGTGCCCTCTGGTGGACACGTCAGCGACTGCGTCGCGATTCCCGTGGTCTCCCGGGTGACCGTTAGGGAAATCAACCGGGGCAGATGGCCTCTGTGCTCAGGGGGCTTCCACTCGGTTGCCTTATGCTGTTTTTTTTTCTGTATTGTTGGGGGTCCCGGGTCTGAACAACTTAGGACGATGATGTGTCAGCATTTTGTTTTGGGTCCAAGTCTTTCTTCGCGTGTCCCTCTGTACGCTTTCCTCCAGCACTGTATCACACGTTCTAGATTTGACGTTTCCGTGACTGCAAGGATACATACTCTTTGGTTCTTTCGGTAAAGTCACGTAAGTAAAAACAAAGTTAAACAAAAATGAAAACAACTAAATTTAGTTGTTTTGAAAACAACTAAATTTAGTTGTTCATTTTTTGTTTTATTTTATTTTTTACTTACGTTACTTTACCGAAAGAACCAAAGAGTATGTATCACACGTGACTGTCAACCGGACACCGCAGTTATGTGGCCAAAGTTTTGCGGCTTACTCCGTCTGAGCGGTATGTTTGCGTAGGACTGAACTTGAGTGTCGAAGGAGAAATGGTTCCACTTCACGTTGGCGCAAGTCCGGCAATTGGTGCCATGCATGGGTGAGGCAGTGGGGATGAGCTTCAGATTTAAGCTGTCACATGTTCGTTTTTGGATCATTAGGCCCCAAATTAGAATCAGTTTCATGTTTCATATTCTTAGCTCTTTCGGTAAAGTCACGTTGAAGGGAAAACAATAAAATAATAAAAAATATATAAAACAATAACAATTCTCACGACGTTTCGACCATAACACAAACGACCGTGAGAATTGTTATTGTTTATTGTTTTAAATATATTATTATTTATTATTTTATTGTTTTCCCTTCAACGTGACTTTACCGAAAGAGCTAAGAATATGAATTACTGCAGTCACGAAAGCTTTAAATCAAAAGTTTCATGTTTGTGGATCAAAATTTGTTAAATGGTAAAAAAATTTTTAGTGCAGTAAATGTAACTTTTAATATTTTTTATTGCATTGAATGTTTTGATATAAAGTGACATCAAGAAAACAATAATTGTAATGTAAGCTTATTTATATTTTAGGCTGAATCATCAGTGGTGAGTCATCTCTGAACGGGTCCTGGACCCTGATCAGCGTGGTGAAGTATGGCCAAACAACCCCCATGACCAACGCAGCATGGGGAAGCCCTCATCCAGCAGTGGATTGACAAAGGGCTGTACATTTAAATTTTTATATTCTTGGGTCTTTCGGTAAAGTCACGTAGATAGTACTCTTTGGTTCTTTCGGTAAAGTGACGTAGATTTTACGTAACTTTACCGAAAGAACCAAAGAATATTAATTCCTGCAGTCACGAAAGCTTTAAGTCAAGATTGTATTTTTCACTAACATATCTTCAGGGAAAAATTAATGACATCCTCTGAATTATTTTGTAATGGGGGTGGTTTGGGCAAGCGTTCATCCAGCAGTGGATTGACCATAGTTGATGATGATGATAATGCAATTAATGTAGCCTGAAGCAGTAAATCATTCTTATGCACATAAAACCACATTTACATATATATACACACACAACTCTTAGCTCTGGAAAATGTTGATAAGAGACTCAAAGTTGGTATTATTTAACTGGCAGATGACACGAGTCATAAGTCCTGAGCCAAGCATTCACCCAAACTGGTTAACGGTATATATTCATATTTAGGAGGAAGTGACAGGTTTTTTTTATCAGCAGAGAGCATTTGCTTCCGGGCTTAATATATATTTTAATGGAGCACAGCGTTGCACACTGAATAGAAGTTCCAGGGCCCAGAGGCCTCTGCATTCGGAGTCGTTTTGTGGCGACGCTTTGTGCTAAGCGTGAACGCTAAACCAAAGGTTTGAGGAAGATGCGCCCATCGCCAATTTTCCCGGCATTCGCCCGGTCTTGCCACGTTTCGCCAGCTAAGCAGGGGCGAACCTGGAGAGCGCTTGGACGGGCAATCGCTGTGCTTAGCGGGTTGTCAGAGGCTGTGGGGCTACGTGATGGGCAACGCCTTCACCAGCCCGCACTGATGAGTGTGGTGGAGTATGGTCAAATACAATCTGAGATCTACACGGCGTGGGGAGGCCCTCATCCAGTACAGGATTGGCAAAGGGGCTATACGTGTATATATACACGTGAGGTGTGCAGGAACATTCCTCTCATTTGTCACTGAAGATCTGCACCGTGCATAACTCATGATCACTAAATGCACGCCCGAGGGTGATATGTAACTGGGTGTCCATGCAACGTAAGAGTCAATGTGCCAAAAACTAAATACTGCCACTTACGAATAAGGCGCACAGTTCTACATGTCTCAAACAATTCAAAACACAAACCAATCATGAGTGTCATTGTGGGGAATGTAAGTGACAAAATAAATAAGCAGAGGATACAATTCCTTCCTATGCCTGTCTCTTCGCGTAAAAAAAAACATCATCTAGATTTGTGATTGATTACACATCCCATCGGCCAACAAGGCCTTTTGGGGGTGCATCGTTTCGACAGCACTGGTTCACCACGCCAGCATTGGTTCACACAAGCATGACTCTGCTGATGAGACGTTTCATGTCGAAACCAGTTGAAGAGGTTGCTTGTGTTGGACCGATGGTTTGACTCGCAGGTGACCGGTCGACTGATGCAGGATTCGTCCCAGCTCAGATGAAGTTACACAGGTCGGGCTGAGAAGTGCCAAGTACATTAACCACATCCCTTGAAAAAATTACCTTGAACGAATGCCAAATCAATATCTTGTTTTCATTTCACGTGACATTGTTTTCTTAAAAAAAGTACATTACAAGCAAATTGCTGCAATTATTGGACTACCAAAATTCATCCTGAATGTGGTGTAACTTTAAATGTTTTATATTAAATGCCCGACTGTATGTTCCAAAGAGATAAAGGCATTTTGCATTCACTCTTCTCCAGTAAATGTGTTTTTTCTCTCTCCACCAACTCGTCTTTGAAGTCCCTTGCCAACTCCCCGCAGCAGAGGAGAGTGCAGCGGCTGCCTGCAGCGACGGGATTTGCACTTGAAAGGAGCGAGAGAGTGGAGAGAGTGCTGCAGCAGAGTTTCTCATTGGCCGCACAAATCCTGCCTGTCGCATGGCAGCATTGCCCAAGTTTCATTATTTAGTGCGACAGATTGCCATGCTATTACGTGCCCATGCCCAAGCAGCAGGAGATCCAAATAAAGTTAAAATTATACACAAGTACTCGCAGTTCCAAATGGAAGAAAAAAAGTTAGTTCCAATGATCTGGGGTGGCATTCAAGTGTGCGCGATGTGTGTATATGTGTGTGGTGTGTACTTCTTGTGTATACTGGGTGGGATGATAATATTGACCGTAAACACAACGACATTACATTTTTTGGCAGTCAAATCACATTGATGTTTACCCCCTCGGCCGGCTTTAAATTGTCGTATATTTTTAAATTTACCAGGTAAGGCTCACTGAGCTATGCAGCTGTCTTTCAGAAGCGACCTGGCCACAAATGAAAGCCCAACGAAGTGACTTATCACGTGGAAATGTATAGCAGCCAAATATTCTAAACGCGCGCTTCAAAATGTGGAGCCAAAAATCCGAAGATCCGGAGAAAAATCAACACGACGACGGGGAGAGCGACACGCAAACTCCAAATAGATAGCAGGCGTTAGGGCTGGGATCGAAGCCACGACCTCCTGCATACCGGGCGAGGTAGTTAACATTTCACTACCGTGGCATCCAAGCTTTACCCAAGCCCACGCTTCACCTTCAATCTCCACAGCCATTCAGCGATCCGTATGATGCTCTGCGCCCACCCCCAGCTACAGCTGTGTGATCATCTGCGTGCAGTCCGTGCGATTGTGAACTGAACTGCCCATTTTCTGAGTCGCACCACTGCCCATCGCGCTCGCGTGCTACGGACGGTCAGAGACAGAGCGTCCTATGCATCCTTCGTGTTGTCCAGATATCTCTTACAAAGCAATAACCGCAGGTACATTGAGGACGGTGTTTTTTTTTGTGTAACGTGCTCTCATTCCCAGCCTTCCTAAGTGCCTTTAACAAGAAAAACATGAAATATTCACACGGCCGATTTTTTTAAGTGACCGCGTTGCACACGCTGCCACGTTCAATACCTCCACCGCCTGCCTAACGCTCCGTGATCCCCAGGACAGCTTCCCGGCGCGGTTCGGAGGGGTCCACTTTGTGAACCAGCCCTGGTTCATCCACGCGCTCTACACGGTCATCCGGCCTTTCCTCAAGGAGAAGACTCGCAAGCGGGTGAGTCGTTGCGAACCAGAACCGAGCCGTGCCGGCCTGGTCTCGGCTCGGCACGGCTCGGCTCGTCTCTTGCCCGCACAAGAGACGAACACTCCCCGCCCCATCTCAGCCCCTCCCCCTCTATCCCCACACTCCACCCCCACAGCCCCTCCTCCTCTATCCCCTTCACTCCACCCACACAGCCTCCTCTCAGCCCCTCCCCCTCTATCCCCCCCACTCCACCCCCTCAGCCCCATCTCAGCCCCTCCCCCTCTATCCCCCCCACTCTACCCCCTCAGCCCCTCCCCCTCTATCCCCCCCACTCCACCCCCTCAGCCCCATCTCAGCCCCTCCCCCCCTCCATCCATAGAGCCGGACACTCACACACGGACGAGGAGGGAGGGAGAGAGAGAGAGACTCGCTCGATGTCCATGGGTGCCACTGGTGCAGGGTGCTGGGCGCTGTGTGCGGGGTTGAAATGACGCCGCACAGGAGGGTCGGCAGCCCGCCTCGCTTGGGCCAAGGTTCCACCGTCGATGGCGAGGCGGGAGCGGGAGAATTTACCGTCGAAGCCTCCCTCCGACTCGTTTCCCTCGCGACAGCGACCAGCCAAATGTGCGCATCACGTGGACAGAATTCGGCGTTTTGAATTTCAAGCGTTCTGACGCTTGAGCCGCTAAATGAAATGGCAGCTGTTTTTGTTGTTGTTGTTGTTGTTGCCGAGTGCTCGCAAAATGTTGCGGAGTGCTCGCAAAATTTTGCGAGCAAGAGACGGAAACACCTCGCAAAATTTTGCGAGCAGCAGGTTTCGCGTGAATTGCCCGGAAGACTCTCAACCAGCGTCTGGTTTAAGCCGGTCCTTGATGTGAACGCTGCAGCCGCAGCAGCAGCAGCAGCAACAGTGACAAACATCAGTCCCGGTCATTTGTACCGCGTGGCCGACGGCGTTAGTTCGAAATTGAACCAGAACGCGACGAATGGCCACGTGCACCTGCATGCTCCGTGACGCTTCGGATGGGATTGCCGCGCGGAGCACCGCGGTTCGTTTTTAATTGCGGCTTTTAAACGGAACTTGCGGTGGGGCGCGTGTGGGCGAGTTGGCGGGGCTGTTAGAATCGTGAGCAGTGTCTCCCTCTGGTCATCTCGGGTTTTTGTTGTTGTCAGAGATGGAATTTAACATTTTTTTAGCTAAATAATACAATTGCCTGTCAGCAGATGAGGCTCACTCGATAAAGTTTGGGAGATGTGTGTCATTTTACTCTTTCGATTACCCTTTACTCATCTTCATTCCAAAACGTTGTGCTCCTTCACCTCCCTCGCTGTTTGAAATGCTCACTGGATTATACACCAGGATACAGCACGTGGGCCTAAACATCGACGTGATGTAGGCTGAACTTCTTTCGCACCGTACGTTGCCAACCGTGCTAGTCGGAGGTGCGAATCTATGCATCGTTCCAGACCTTCGGGGAGGCTGGGCAGGCACTGTCCACACCAGGGTGTTGAACCGACACGGCTCGGGTTCCAGTCTCAAACGTTACCACGATACATGAGTGGCTTCTCGATTCTACAGCCTCAGACCGGTGACCCATACAGGCCTTGAAAATTCTCCACTGTTAAACTCTGACGAAGAATCCTAAAACTCTGTCGAAGAATCCTAAAACTCTGACGAAGAATCCTAAAACTCTGACCAAGAATCCTAAAGCTCTGACGAAGAATCCTCAAACTCTGACGAAGAATCCTAAAACTCGCGTCTAGCCGCCTGTCAGTCGGCTGCTGGGTTAAGGCCTCCCCACGCACTGTCGACCTCCGGGGATTGTTTGTCCATACTTCACCACGCCGGTGAGCGTGGGTTGGTGACGGGGAGACATCGCCCTGGAACCCGTTGAAACATCACTCGCCGCTGACATTGGCCACTGTCAAAAAATGTATCTCGGGCTGCCAGATTCATCGCGCAGTGCGCTCGCCGCTGCACCACGGCTCCCGTCTTAACAAGGTTCACCGCCTCCCCCTTGCTTTACAAGCGAGGCGAATGACCGGGCTTACATTGATGCTTCAATTGACCATAGGTCAGCTGCCTGAGGATCCTGCTGCTCGGCAAATTGCCGGGGCCGCTTGATAATGCGGCGCTTTGGTGAACGGTTCACTGGGCAGCAGCAGCAGCAGTAGCAGCTCTATTTCCGTCATGGCCGCGTTCAGCTGCTGTCCGCACGCGGGTGCTGAACCCCCGCGCGTGCAACGACGTGGGACTCGGTGCATAAATCACTTCGGCGACCGCATTGGCGTTTAATTGGGGGGGGGGGGGGGAAGCTTCCCTCGTCCCCACTTCCCTCCAAAACAGCAAAAGTTAATTGACGATGGCGCAGACAATGCAATAAGCTCCGTGATGGATCGGAGCAGATGCCACTTAGAGTAATAATTCAGAAATCATGAGTTTGCGACGCCGCTCGTGTATCACGCGCGGCGCGCCGAGCATCCTCAAGGTCACGGGAGAGAATTAACGAGAGGTAAAATTAACGCGAGAGAAAAAAAATAACGCGCGGGAACGTGATGTAAATTGGAAGATCTCGTTAAGATGATTTCAAAACGGTCTTCCTCTCCGAGTGACCTTGATACACCTTAAATGCATCATCTGATAGGTGCTTATTAAGCCCTCTTTAAAGCCACGAGGGACGTAAGCTCGGTGCTCATTAGTCAGAGAGGTTAAGAAAAAAATAATAATGACAGAATAGACTTTGTTTATCCCCGGAAGCAGCAATGAATCTCAAGAATTGGCATTTTATGCGTGCATGGCCAATTCCTTATTTGTACTCTTGCCTGTTGGCTGAAATGGGAGTACAGTGCGGAGAGTAAACCAACGTGCGGGAGGGAACAACACTGTCAAGGTCTGTGCCCAAACGCGAGAAAACCATTCTTGGTGTGCTCTTTGGGTCTTTCGGTCAAGTCACGTAAATAGAAATGAAAAAAATAAAAAAAGTAAAGTGAATAAAAATATCACGACGTTTCGATCGCAACACAAGCAATCGTCTTCAGGCGAGAGTAACTCTACTCGTGATCTATTATTTATATTTACGTGACTTGACCGAAAGACTCAAAGAGCACGAATTCTTGCAGTCACAAAAGCTTTAAATCAAGATTCACTCTCGGTGTGCCACCGCCTACTTGGCACGCACGCGACACATCGCAGGCGAGTGTCCCGTGCGTGCGTCCACTCTCGCGGTTCGAGCGGCTGGGCGAAGAGCGAGCGCGTCACGGTGCCCGGAGCGCTGACGTGCCCGGAGAGCTGACGTGCCCGTCATGTGAACGCCGCCAGGTGTGTTCGAGCCACTCCGCGTCGAGAGCTGGAGCGAGCATCGCGCTTAGAGCCACGGGCCACTGACGTTGAATAACTGTATAGAGAGAGGAGAGAAAGAGATGTATCCATAAGAACTATGAGAAAAATGAGAGATAGGATCAAGGGGCATTGAGACGAGCGCTACATGAGTGAGTTAGGAAAGCAATGAAATCGGGAGGTGGGTGTGAAGGATGTCTCTTCAGTTGACGGTCGACGTTCGAAATGGACTGCAACCCTCAAAGGAACGGCGTCCTCTCCCCCCCCACCACCCCCCCGGTCGCCCCAAACCTCCCACCCCGTGATCCGTGGATCAAACAAATAAATCGAGACGCCGGTGTATGGCAGCCAAGAGCAGTTTACAGTATGTGAATGCCGTCGCAAGACGTCACACGCTTGGCGCAAACGGTCCTTAGATGACTGTGCCCGATGAATAAATGGATGAATAGAGGTTTTTTGTCGGTTAGATCGCGTACACTTACGCCTACGTGTTAAACTGAACGGATGAAGTCTGGAGAGACGGAGCGCATGGGCATGACAACGCTCGTGGCCCCAACGTCTACCCAGACGCACACGCCACCACGTGGCCTGCGCGGTGTGACCGAGGCCGCCCGCTCAATTATTCCGCAACGTTCGCGTAGTCAAGCCTGACTTATTCACACGTGGGATAATTACGTTGATTCGTTTGAACGCCGCAGCTGGCTGCTGCCGAGAGGAGTAAGTCCGAGCGATGCCGCGGGTCGTGGGGAGTGATGTTGCGGGGTCAGTTTGAGCCCCATGGGTCGTAGATGGTTCAGACGGCAATATTTGCGAACGCTGTTCCGGCAACTATTTTCGGCACGCCGCATCCATCTCGCCTTGTCGTGGATAGCACATGGACGGGAGACGCGAAGCCGCGTAAAACGTGCGCCCGCGGCTCAACGTCGCCCAAACAAACGGTTTCCCCGCGTAGATTTTCCTGCACGGGAACAACCTGACGAGCCTGCACCAGCTCCTCCACCCCGAGATCCTGCCCTCGGAGTTCGGCGGGAACCTGCCCCCCTACGACATGGGCACGTGGGCACGCGCGCTGCTGGGCCCCGGCTACGACGACAACGACGCGGAAGGGGCCGGCGCGCCACGCGCCACCGTCGACGGCGGCGGCGGCGGCGGCGGTGGTGGCGGCCTGCTGATCGTGGGCCGGCCCGGCGCTGCTGAGGAGCAGGAAGACGGCGGATGCTGCTCGCAGCGCCACATCAAGCGGTCGGTTTTTCGGTTTTTCTGCGCGCGGGTGACGATCGCTGATCGCCGGTCGCTTCGACTGTAATTGGCGCCCGCACGTGAATGCTGCGCGTCGACGCATTTTTTTTTGTGTGCGGTTGACATTTCTGATGTTACGTTTCGGTGAATGCAGGGTCCTATCTGAGCTTGACGAGATCCATGTAGCGCCTTTACCAAGGCGCTTTACAGCAACTATACAATTGTACATAGCATGATAATAATTTGGAACGAAGGATGAGGTTATTGTAAGCGGTGGTGTAGTTATGATGCTTTAAAACAAGAGAGATTGATAAGGATAGGCCTGGTCGTAGCTGGGGTGGCGGGGGGGGGCGGTGACAGAAAGCTGGGGAGGCTGAAAAGTAATGAGGCATCATTGCATTGGGAAGACAAAGTGGGGGCGGCGAGGGGCTGGAGCCAGGAGGGAGAAGTGGGGGGTGGGGTGGGGGGTCTCCATACCGCCAACGACGTCCACACAACGTCCACACAACGTCCGCACAGTGCAGCAGCGGAGTCCCGGGGGGGGGGGGGGGGGGGGGGGGGGACGAGGAAGAACGCACAACAGGGAATGAAAACTAACGTACAAATGAGACTATGAAAATGACACGTGTAATCAATTCTTGAATTGATTTTTTAGAGCCCGAGTTGTGACAATTCATTGAACCACTGGGGGAATGAATCATTGCATGCCGATGCATTGCTGACGGCTATTGCAGATGCTCGACCTGAATATAAATCACATTAGCAACATAAAAATGACGTTCATTTTGTAATCCACAGTTGGGTGACGGCCCTACCCCATGCCATGCCATGCCACGCCACTCGTAGGGGGTTGTTTGTTGGTCTACAGAAGCACAGCGCAACAATGGGATTGTACTGCCGTGTCCCCCTGCTGCCTGCCACGTAGTCGCCCTTGTAACTTATAGCGCGACAAGGCCATCTGAGCACTGTTAAGGCTCAACCCCGTTTAGATTCCGAGACGTGAGAGGTCGGACGCGCACTGCAGGTGGCTTTGGTCACGGGGAGGGCATCGTTGTCCCGGATCATTCGGCCTCCCTTGCATCCTCCGGCTGTCGCGTTCTTCTCTGCACGCCATCACAGAGGCGCACGCGCTCCAAACCTTTTAAGTTGTCAATTCATGCTTTCGTTTTTCATCTTTTTTTCAAATCGGCGTTGTTTCAAACCCGCATTGTGGATGCTGTTTGTTGTGCTCACCGACCGGTGGGTGGGTGCGTGGGTGGGTGCGTGGGTGGGTGGGCGGGTGAGCGGGTGGGTGAGTGAGTGGGTGAGTGAGTGGGGTTTTTTTTTCAGTTTCAGTTGATTTATTTTGGTATAGCCCTGTGAGCCATTCGGCTCTTGAATCGGGTGCAACCACAACAAACAAAAAAACAAAAACGGTGGGTGGGTAAGTGGGTGGGGCGGGTGCGTGGGTGAGTGGGTGAGTGAATGGGTGGGTGGGTGGGTGAGTGGGTGAGTGGGTGGGTGGGTGAGTGGGTGAGTGGGTGGGTGGGTGCGTATGTGCAGCGTAAACTGATTGTGTCAACAGTTGTTTGTTTTGGTGATGATTACCAGATGTTGGCAAATTGTCCCTTGCTGCAAATCGGTCAGGGCTGTATGCCCAGTCGCTGAGGCAGGGAAGATGACTGTGAACCACAGTGCATATGGGCACGTCATTGCTGCTGCCGTTGTTGATTATAATTATAATGTGGAGATGATTATGATAATGATGATTACCTGTGCTAAAATAAATAAAAACTTCAAAAGGTGATTAAGCTATTATCTTCGAAATTTTCACTTAACTTGATTAGGACGGTTGGTTACATGTGGTGCGAAAGACGTTCAACATACGTATTACATGCGTAGTACATACGTCCAACATAGAGCCAGCGAGCAACACCAGATGTTGGGAAAATTGTCCCTTTCTGCAAATTGGCCAGGGCTGAATGCCATGTCCATGTGAATGGCAATGGCCAAAAACAATTAAAAATGTGAGAGAACAAAAAGAGTTCCACTTGCTTTTATATCTTTACTTTAGATTTTGTTGAAGCGAATGATACATTATCAAGCCAGAAGAACAGTTTAATTTAAATTGAAATCTTTTTTTAAGTGGAACCATTTATAGAAGCCTCCCGACAGATTAGATGTAACACAGCAAACAAACTACCCACGTTGTTTGGCGAAATTGTTAAACGTATTTAAAATTGTTTGGATGACGTTGAAATTCGTCACGCATTTGTTTATATTCTCACTGCAGCTTAGCTGGGTTCATCTTTTACGAATTTACGCTTCAAATTATCCTCCCACTCCACCTCGCCACCCTCCCCCCACCCCCCCCCCCCCCCCCCCTTCTTCACGAGTTGATTCCAGACTTGACTATTTTATTTTATGTCATGCTGAATTATAAAGGCTTCGGGATCACGTGACCTAACCCGCAGACCTTAAATCACGTCGGGGATGCCATTGCAGTGTAGTCGTGAGAACATTCGCGTAGCACGAAAACAAGCCTCACTCTTTCAAAGGACGTCTGGCTGTCTTGGAAGAGTAGGCCAAGCGCTGTCTGAAGGGTGCCCTGCAGAACTCTACACTTCCATTTCGTCTCTGTACACGAGAGCGCTGTATATTCGCACATCAGATGAGCATTACCGTTTTACTTTATTTCACGCGTTTATGGGCACTTACCTGCTTTCGGAAAGCCAGTTTGTGTTTTGCCTGCTGCTTTTCAATCCTGGGCTGATGAGCCAAATCGTGAAATCTGCGTCGGTTTCAAGGTTAAGAGATTCGGAGCAAATGAGCCCCGACGCAGCGGAATGTACAATCGCATCACGGCGTGCACTTTTGGCTTGGCAAGCGATTGCAAATGTCATTAACTGTTTCCGGATAAAACTCTTTGTTAACACGAGCAATCGCAGCAAAAAAAAATTAAAACGCATCGCAATTACGGGGTCCTTACTCTACTCAATGTGTCATGGCCCACGTGCGCGGTTCCGTCTGTCAGTGCCGCAATTCTTGAGCGAGAGACACTTAAGCAAAGTCATTTTTTTATTCTCTTCTATACATTTGTGCATAAATGTGTTGCACACTCCATTTACTCCGTTAATGACAACACGTCCTGCAACAGCAACGTTAACGTTAGATAGTTTTTTTGGTTTGTTGCAGCATTGATTTAAAATGTTCCTCGATGTTCTGCACATATTTTGCAATTAATCTGCAAGTTCCCAAGATGTCGTTGCAGTTTGCCACGTCAGTTTGCCAAGCTGGCAATGCTGAGATTTCTAAGTTCGAATCCAGGCAAGCTTCCTGTGTTTAAACCGGGCTCTTAATTGCAGCGAGATGATGATCTGGGCCCGGTCACTGATGACTGCACAAAAAAGAACAACCCCCCCCCCCCATCTCTATCTCTCCGCCCCCCTTACTCCTCCCCCCCTCTCTTACCTATACAGCCTCTTGTTACAGCAGCCCTTTTGCCCACTTCAGCAATTGTTTCTTGTTGTGGTTGTCCCACCTGATGACGGACGCTTGTGTTGCGCCTGAAACGTCGTGATTTAATTTATTTTATTTTATACCTACGTGACTTTACCGAAAGAAACAAAGAGAATCGCGTTAAATGTTGGTATTGCATTTAAATTGGCAGGCACTGTGCGTGCATATGTGTTATCCTGCCTTGGTGCACAGTGTTTAGTGTCGCATTGTACCTTTAAACCAGGCAGGTGGCTCAGCGGTGGAGTGAGCGGCTCACAAAGTTGCGGAGTTCAGATCCCTGATTTGGGGGGAGGGGAGCTTGACTCGGCCCATCAACCCTTTGTGGTCAATACAATCAGTACCACTTTGTGAGAAAGTCAGAATTAGAATCTCTATTTATGCTGGAAGAATCCGATTAGCTATGAAGCGCTTTTTTTTTTTTTACAGATTTCCGGTAAGTCAATAGCGGTTGTCCTGTAGATAGACTCACCCCCGCCATAGGGATGTGGAAATTCCACCACTGGCTCAGATCTGTGAACAGGAGATGGGCACTTGTGCATTTGAGCAGAAAATCTCCTTGACGTCATTCATGTCCCCTTACCAAGGGATTCACTCTTTATTTTCTGGACGGTTGCTAACTGGAGGGGTTTCAAAACTTTTATTCCTCACTGTTATATTTTTGTATTTTTTTTAAAAAATAAATGTCCCATACCTGTGTAGTGGGTACAAATGGAGAGAGAGACTTCTCTGGAGGCAACACGTTTATCATAACAATAACAAAAGCCCTAACAAAAAGGGGTATCTACCCCTTCCACGTGGTAACCTAAGCAGGCCGTCTCTCCGTGCTAACGAGGCCCTAACACAACTGGGGAGGCTACCAGAGAGCGGACCCCGACTCGAGTCCGGGTCTTGTCTTCGGGGCTGCGCTTCAGGCTGACGGCTTCAGGCCTTCAGGTGTACAACAGCAGCCGGGCCCGTTCAGGGGGACCCCCTCTTTGGGGGCCCCCGGGCTGATCGCTCCGGTCACCAGGCCTCCGGGTTCATACAGAGTGCCACGGCCCCCTGTGAACCCTTCCACCATACCTGGCACTCTCGCCCCTTATCCTCTGGAGGCTGGCACTGCACGTGAAGTGCAATGCCATCCATCCTTGATACACACAGCCCGGCTCACGCATCATGCAGTGGCATCCCACGATGCCACTACACCTGTAAGGAACTTGCACGGCAGGAATGGATTTTCTAATTTGAGGTGCGGTTTAAATGACAGCCCGGGCCGGTGGCCAACGCGGCCGCCGGGGGAATGAATCCGACAACCCTGAAGCTTCAATGCGCAGCCACCGGTGCGCTTCGTCAACCCTCTAACCAGAGCCGGCGTGGCCTGAAGCCATCGGGCGATGTCATCAAACAGAGTAGTTAGGTTTTAAAAAAAAACACACACACATCCTGGCGTGTTTTCTCGGAGCTTCATTATTATTATTAAAGAAGCTGTTCATAGACTGCTTGTGCATTCACGTGCAGTCTTATTCTGGCAGCACAAGACGCGTGGTAATGAATGTTATAACTCAGAGCGGCGTCCGTTTTTTTTTCACCGCGTGTGGGAGCACATTGAGATTTATGACCGCTTTTACGAAGGAGACCCAGGACCCCGCTGGCACGAATATATATACGCCGCGTCCAACGGGGGTATAGATTTGGTACATTGTGGACGGCAGAGGGCATACAAAAAAAACATTGTTGGACTGTACTTCTGTGCTCTTCATCCGTGCATCCAGTCTTCATGCACCAATCCGCGCTGACCGGCGTGGTGAAGTATGGTCAAGTCACCCAGACGCAACTTCAGTCAGCATCCTCACCATGGATGTGTGGTACCCTTCGTACAACAATTAATCGACAACTCATTTCTGCGTATTGAGTCAACAGTGACCACCTCCCACTCAAATGAGCATTTAGGCAGTGATCATCTACGATTCACAGACCTAAGCCTGTGGTAGAAATTCCATGTTCCTTTGACAGGGGCGAGTATATCCATACAACAGCCACTGTTGACTTCCAGTTCACTGTTGCAAGTCGTCCAGGTTACTGTCGCACGTGAGACTATCCTGTTTTTTTTCAGTGCTCGCCTGTTTAAACAAAATGAACTCTAAAAATCCTTGCAAAGTGGTAGTTATTTTATCGACTCAGGAGGGATGATGAGCTGAGTCGACCCCCCCCCCCCCACCAATATGTGAACTCACAACCTACGCGATTGCGAGTCGCTCGCTCTACCGCTGAGCCACCCGGTGGAGTTAAGCAAATATTTTATTTTAAGCGTGGCGCAGGTGTTGCTCTGTGCGTTCAAACGGTCACTCAATAAGTGTGGGATGCCGTCCGGTGGCGGCGGCGGCGGCGGCGGCGGCGAGCGGGCGTCTCGCCGCCACGCCGTGAGCTGCCCCTGGCTCAATGGCTCGCGTTTACGCCTCTCGCAACCACCAGCACAGCAATAGCAGCAGCAGCAGCAATAGCAGCAGCAGCAGCAGCAATAGCAGCAGCAGCTGTAGCAGCAGCAGCAGCAGCAGCGGCAGCAGCTGCAGCAGCAGCTCAATGTGAACGCCTATATGCCCTTCCAGTTGCACACAGCAGATCTGGATTCGGTTGCTGCGACTGCACCCACAAGGTCACACACAGCCGTAATAATCATCAGCCATGTTCAGTCCACTCGTGGACGAAGGCTTCCTCAAGCTGTCGCCGACTCTCATCAGCGTCCTGCGAGACATTTCATTACACGTTTGCTGCGTACGCGGCACCGTTACAAATGCGATTTTCCACATCGAGAGATTGTCTAAGATACCTACCCAAAAAAAAACAACTAATAAATAAATAACCCATCGACTCCGTGCACAATGGGCTGACTTCATCGCTCGTCTTTGCAGTGGCCATCCTCTACGGCGCGTTCCCTCCTCTGGACGCCACTCCATCGAGAGTCTTGACCCCCCAGCGACCCGGCCTGCCCAAGCCCACTTTGCTTTCCATAACGTTCGATGAAATTTTCGTCGTCTCTCTCGCACGTTTTCCAATCCACTGGTCCCCGCGCGATTCCAAGTTCGCGCCTCTCCCCCCAAGCTCCTCGCTGTGCGCGCGCGCCTTTCAGCCTTTGTTTAATTATCTTTGCCATCGTCCGCGTTTCTTAACCACACGTCATCGCAGGTGATTATGCAAAAACCTCGCGAGGCGTGGACACGCATGAGCTGGCTCCAGTCATGCGGACGTTTACAGGAATTTGCTGACCTTAGCTGTCAGTAGGTTCTGAAATCTTCAAGTAAGAATGTTAAGGCAGGCATAATGGGAAACGTGCGGATATTTTTGATTTTGTCCGACGTGCGTTTCCCGTTTTTAATGGCAGAAAGCGGCGTTTGCTGCAGGCGTAAACGTACCGTGGCACGGGGGAGAGACGGGACTGGGCTCCCGCAACGCGTTCACGCAATCATTAAGGACGAGCGCTTACAGATGGGCGCAGAACGCACAAACATTAACGTTAGCTACGCCTGCTCAAGCAAATATTCTGTCGGTAATGCCGCGTTTGGCGGTGGGGCAAAAGCATAAACAACAGCAGCAACAACTTAACAACATCCAATCTTTATTTGAAGCTTTCACGACTGCAGGAATCATACTCTTTGGAAAATTTCGGTAAAGTCACGTAGATAGAAAAATAACTAATACATCGCGACGTTTCGATCGCAACACAAGCAATGGTCCTCAGGTGAAAAAAAGATACAGCAGGCGGACTGCTGAGGCAGGAAGAAATGTAGCGAGAGAGCTACTGCAGACAAAGGTTATTATACGTTTGAGATGGGTACAACCCAAGGGTAAGTGGGCGGGGCTAGAGATGCAATTTGCAAGTCAATGGAGGATCGCAGAGCTAGGTATACCTCGGCTAATCCGAGGGGGGGGGGAGGGAGAGGAGGGGGAGGGCGAGATGGTGGGGGTGAAATTCAAAGAGGGAACAGGGTGAGAGAGAGAGACAAAGAAAAAAGATCAAACTTGGCAAACTTAGAAATGTAATGCAACTCAGAGAGTCGGCCAACACAACAGTTTTTTTTCCACCTGAGGACGATTGCTTGCATTGCGATCGAAACGTCGTGATCTGTTAGTTATTTTTTGTTAAACAAAATTCGTTAATAAGACTGTGACCTTAACGGGAAAATACGTCAAAAGATGCAATATTTTGGATAATGCCCCCTTTTTCATAGCAGACAAATGCCCCTTTGGAGTGCACCGAACCGATGCAGAAGGGCCATTGCCCAAAACGTCGTCTATTACTTACGTATGTTTTCGTTTAGGACCACCGTGTGATTGATGAATATATTGAGTCTCTGTTATTTGTGCTCAAGCGTCGACATGTTATTTTGGCACGCGCACACACACACACATCGCGTACACACTGTCTACACACACACACGGCAACGCGTCAGTGCATTGCAAGCGAGCCGACTTCCGGCTGCCCGCACATAGGCTCCTGTTGAGCGACAGAGGCTGTGGCATGCGTCGCCCTCTATTCCTCTGGTGAGCGCGCATGAGCGTAGTGAAGGCCAGTAGCTGTGCATGGGGTCCCTGCACTCTGCAACAAATCCTGGCGGAGTTCAATTCACATCCGCGGCTAACATCAGTGGCAAAACCATTTCTGTCGGAATTTTCCCGGGCCTCGCCTAGGTCCACTCGGCCTCTTATGCCTAAGCCGATACTTTTGGTGTATGGACCTCAGGACTCGGGAGACAAAGTAGGCCAGGCAGGTGTTCTAGCTGCACCACCACCACCCCCTCGTGTGCCGTTGTGCCGTCCTTCGTAGGTGCTCGCTAACGCCGCTTGCCCCCGAAAAGTCTGTTTATGCTACGAGGGGGATCTTTGTCTTTTGTGCGCAGGTCCCAATCGGTGGTGGAGCGTGGAACCCTGCAAAGCGTCGACAAAGAGGAAGACAACACCCAGCCACTTTTATCCCTCGACTGAGTGCCCGGCCGATTACTTCACCCACAGCCAATCATCATCATCATCATCGTCGTTGCTGTCGTCTCACGGGAATGACGGAAAATCCACCGCTCTCAGGCCGGAGTCTCGGCAGCTGTCGCCGCTGCTGCTGCTGACCGACGAGAGGCATTGCCGAGAGCGTTGAGACTCGACGAACCAAACAGAGCTACAAGAACTTTTGGTGTCACGCACCTTCGTACATTTGCAGGGGAGAGCAATTGCAGTGGCGATGACTTCACCGCTTGTCCGTTGTTTGCGAGTTACGTTTCCCTGTGTTGTTGCCAGTATTCTTTGCTCCTCCTGCAGTGGTTCAGACTGCCCAGTTGCCACCGCTGCCGCCGCCGCTGCTGCTGCTGCTGGATTCCCGTGAACCGTGCTCCTCACCCGTCACGCTCGTGGCTAGTTCTGCATTCTCCGCGCCAGCATCGCGATCCACCGCCCCCTCTACCACCACGTGGCAACGAATGGTCACGGCCCAGAGCCACGCTTTGTTGTCCCTGTTTTTACCGTCTCAGCATCCTCGCTTCTCATCTATTTCCGTCTCGTTTGCGCAGTTTTGATTTGCTCCATTGAGCTCGTTGTAACTTTTGGCGCATAATTTGCATATCATTTGCATACATCGGATTCTTACACTGATGATTCAATGCATGTAAGGCCAGATAACAGATTTTAATCGATGAATCGTTATGCCCCGATCATGCGTATAACAATGCACCAATTCATTGCTTAAGGTGCAGTCCTACACTTTTGATGCACGCATACAATTGTGCATGTAAGACACAACGGTGTGTCATCACTGCTGGTGACGTGAGTTATTATGTATGAGTGTTATATTTAAGCTGACAGTGTGCGTGAGGCAGCCGGGACAAATGAGACAGCGAGCAAGACAATACAAATGAGCAACACAATACAAACGAGCAAGACAATACAAACGAGCAACACAATACAAACGAGCAACACAATACAAACGAGCAACACAATACAAACGAGATGGTACAGAGAGCAAGACAATACAAACGAGCAACACAATACAAACGAGCAAGACAATACAAACGAGCGACACAATACAAACGAGCAAGACAATACAAACGAGCAACACAATACAAACGAGCAAGACAATACAAACGAGCAACACAATACAAACGAGCAAGACAATACAAACGAGCAAGACAATACAAACGAGCAACACAATACAAACGAGCAACACAATACAAACGAGACGGTACAGAGAGCAAGACAATACAAACGAGCAACACAATACAAACGAGCAAGACAATACAAACGAGCAAGACAATACAAACGAGCAAGACAATACAAACGAGCAACACAATACAAACGAGCAAGACAATACAAACGAGCAACACAATACAAACGAGCAAGACAATACAAACGAGCAAGACAATACAAACGAGCAAGACAATACAAACGAGCAAGACAATACAAACGAGCAACACAATACAAACGAGCAACACAATACAAACGAGACGGTACAGAGAGCAAGACAATACAAACGAGCAACACAATACAAACGAGCAAGACAATACAAACGAGCAAGACAATACAAACGAGCAAGACAATACAAACGAGCAACACAATACAAACGAGCAAGACAATACAAACGAGCAACACAATACAAACGAGCAAGACAATACAAACGAGCAAGACAATACAAACGAGCAAGACAATACAAACGAGCAAGACAATACAAACGAGCAAGACAATACAAACGAGCAACACAATACAAACGAGCAAGACAATACAAACGAGCAAGACAATACAAACGAGCAAGACGGTACAGACGAGCAAGACAATACAAACGAGACGGTACAGACGAGACGGGCGGTTCTGGGATGAGAGAATCGTCATCAGAATCTCGAGGTGGACGAGGACCGTGGCATCACGTTGCACGCCATTGGTGCCCCCCACGGTCGCGTCGCAGCGCCCCACCCACGCGGCGGTGTGACGTCACAGGGGCGCGGTGGGTGGGGGGGGGGGAGGAGACGGCTCCTGGCACGGGCAGCGAGCCGGAGGGCGCCGTTTGACCCCGTGTCTGTGTCCAGTTTTCGGGTGAGTCGGCCCGAACGGACGGCGACAGGGCGGGCGTGAGAGAATCGGTTGAGACGGGGCCCGAAGAGGGTTTGAGTCTTCCGTTGAAATCGCGGTGCGAGTGACGGAACCCCTTGCACCCTTGGGATGCAGGTGGCGGCGCGTGGCTCGACGCGGAGTCGGAGTGCGGCCTGCGGCTTGGGGTGCCGCGGAGTCGCCCGCGTGCCACAAGGCGGCGGTGGCACGTGGCCTGGGGCCACCGCTGCCCGTTACATTCGGAGGGAGAAAAAAAAACCAACAACGTTCTTTTAAATGTTTTGTTGCCCTCTTTTGTTTGCCTACACGTGGTGGTCAAGTGTTTTCTAATTTTCGTTTGAGGCATAGCCATACCCATCTGCTGCTAATGTAAATATGTCGCGACTTTAGAAAGGCCGGGTGTTAAGAAGTAAGATGTTTACCCTCCGCAGTACGTTTGAAGTGTTTGTTGTCTTTGAAATACTTGCTGGTGAATCTCATGTTACTCTGCCTTCGGGTGCCGTGTGTATTGTGAGTGGCACGTGACGAGTATTACAATCTTACAGTAAAAGTGGCTTTCAGCAAACGACGTTGCTGCTCTATCGTCCGTGACTTTATGGATTTTCAGCTTTTGGTTGAGTCTCCAAATCGACGAATGAATTGGAAATAGGACGGGGAGAGTCGCATTGTATACGCTTTAATGTGAACAAAACTAAAGTTATGACCAATTCCTTAGAGACGTGTTATCGTATTTTTTTTGTTAAGCATTGCAAGTGTGTATTCATCTACTTATGTAGGTCAAATTGGTTAAGTTCAGTGATAGGCGGGACAACGAGACGCACAAGAGAATAACCAGAACTTGGACAATTTTTTTTTTGGGTCGCAGAAAAGCGTCACGAAGGAAACGTTACCAGCGACTTGAAACGGAAACTCGTGGCTTTGAAATGACCGGCGGGACACAACCCTGGTCCCTGATGTAAATAACAAGTGAGGAAGATACAGGTTTGCAACAGAGCAATGGGGGAAGGTGGAGTTTGATTGTAACGAGGAGGAACGGCATCGCAAATGAATTGCATGAGAATTAAAACTCGGAAACTTTACTCGGTGATTTTTCTTTATTGAGTTAGCTCGGACATCAGGTGGTCGCGCTCAACAACGGGAAGGAGACCGATGGTGAGAGAATGAGAAAGAGAGTTGGACAGAAAACCAGATGGTGGGTTGAGATGACGATGTGAGGATGGTCGCGTTGGTTTGTATGGGCAAGAGGTCACGATGAGCAGAAGTCACTGGGGAAGAAGGTTCTCTGCCCTGTAATGACAAGTTCACTTCTAAGACAACACAAAAGTCCATAATAATAGTAGTGACACAAATAAATTGTCGTCAAGTACTTTAGTTCCACGTAGCGATAGAGAGATATTAGCGCTCGGCCTGGGCGGTTCCTGGATTGAGAGAGCTAGAAATGAGATCAGAGGGAAGGAGCGTGTGGTTAAGGTTTTTTTTTTTAGATGCCTCTTCTGACAAAGTGAGATGAGTTGGGAAATTGAGAGTGAAATCTGGGCGTTCATTGGAAAGACATTTTGCCTGAAGTCAATTTGGGCCCGATGCAGATGAGTGGACCAGGTGGGCGACATTAGAAGGCATCGGTTTTTTTCAACCACGATAACGTATCTCATCCACAGAGAGAGAAACGGCCTGCCTCGAGCCTTCAACCAGCCCAGAAAATTGATTTTTTTTCCTCTCTCTATCTCTTTTTGCAGGATTCATCTCAAATAGCTGCCCCCCCCTCCCTCCCACGTGGTGAATTGCGTGCCACCTGGCCGCCTGTGTGCCGGTGGCACTCCCGCTGCCGGCAAGTTGCGATTCGCGTCTCGTGGCGTTGGACAAATGATGAACGGGTTCAGCGCGTATGGCGGAAATGTGACGTCGGCTGTTGGGGGGCATGCGTGGTGCACGCTCGAGATGCCCCCTACTGCCGCCCCCCACCCCTCCCCCTTCCACCCCCCCCCCCCCCCCAACTCGAGATGGTTGCCAGCTTAGCCAGCAGTCCCGAGTCCTTCCAGGCAATTCTAGATTTAAAGCTTTCGTGACTGCTAGGATCCATACTCTTTGGTTCTATTGGGTAATTTCACGTTGGTGACTTTACCCAATAGAACCAAAGAGTATCCTTCCAGGCAGTTTCACTTCTCGGGCTGGAGTCTGAGATCGACGTCAGAACTGCGATCTGAGAGAGAGAGAGAGAGAGCTGTGTAGCTTCTCGGATTCCTCCAGTATAAATCAAGATTCTGATTCTGAGTGGAAATGTAAACTCAAAGTCACGTGGAAAGTCGCGGAAACGCCACTTCTGAGTTGTCCATCGTGGAGATTAGGGCCGACTCGGCGTTGACCGCGAGTTTGCTGTCCGTGGAAGCGACACGCGTGGACAGACACGGCTCGCGCGTTTACACCTGCAGTGGCTCGCAGCTGCGGTTTGGCGAAGCTGCGACGTCCGTCTCGGGCCTCTCCAGCCTCGGGGTTTACGCGCACAGGGGAATAGCTGCAGCGATGCGCTGGCAAGTGTCTCGATCATAATCGGCGCTCTCTCCCAGCAGACGGAGCCCACGCCATTTCCCAGCATCAGCTGGTCGAGTGTAGCCTCGCACCGGGGCAGCAGCAGCAGCATCACCACCACCACCGCCGCGCGTGCCTTTTGTGTTCTCATGATCATTCGTCCCACAGACTCAGTGAAAGAGATCCATTCAATTCACGCAGAGACCCATAGATTTACAAGAGACCCAGCACCAGTGCAGCAGCAGCATCACCACACGTTGCCTTTGTGTTCCATTTAAAAATGAATCCACGTGCGCGCGTTATCACTTGAGAGTGGGAAAACACGCGGTGAAACGTGGAGCCACGAACCAGCGGCTGCTTTAGGGGCTGTCCATTAATGACGTCACGCACCTAGGGGGGGAGGTTGAGAAATGTGACGTCACATCAAAATGCGCAACATTAAATAAATATTGAATTGTTTAACAACACGAATCGTTATAACAATACTCCTACAACATCAGAGTGCAGCGTCA